CCTGCCCGGTGACAAACTGTTTAACGGCCGCGGTATTCTGACCGTGCAAAGGTAGCGCGATCACTTGCCCCCTAATTGAGGGCCTGTACGAATGGACCCACGAGGGCTTAACTGTCTCCTTTTTCTAATCAATGAAATTGATTTATCCGTGCAGAAGCGGGTATAAAGCTATAAGACGAGAAGACCCTATGGAACTTTAGATACTAACCACTTACCTTAAAGAAAATAAATAAAATTTTAAATAACCGTAATTGTTTGATTAAGTATTTTCGGTTGGGGTGACCACGGAGAAAAAAGAGCCTCCAAATGGAATGGGATTTTTCCTAAACTCTAGACTTACATCTCAAAAATGCAGAAATTCTGACCACAAGATCCAGTTTTAATTCTGATTAATGAAACAAGCTACCCTAGGGATAACAGCGCAATCCCTTTTAAGAGAACATATCGACGAAGGGGTTTACGACCTCGATGTTGGATCAGGACATCCTATTGGCGTAGAAGCTATTAACGGTTCGTTTGTTCAACGATTAACAGTCCTACGTGATCTGAGTTCAGACCGGAGTAATCCAGGTCGGCTTCTATCTATAAAGCTTTTTTTCCTCGTACGAAAGGATCGGAAAAAAAAGGCCTATATTAATAATAAGCCTTATCCTAAATCTATGAATTAAAATTAATAGAATCTTAGGAAGCAATATAACAATAACCCTATATAAGGGCCCGTTAGCGTGGCAGAGACCGGAAATTGCATTTGGCCTAAGCCCATTTTCTCAAAGGTTCAACTCCTTTCGCTAACTTTAATGAGTTTTATCTTTTTTATAATTATTCTAATTTTAAGTTATATTATTCCTATTTTGCTAGCTGTAGTTTTCTTAACTTTACTAGAACGAAAAACATTAGCCTATATACAATCCCGAAAAGGACCAAATACTGTAGGAATTCTTAGGACTACTTCAACCCATTGCTGACGGAGCTAAACTAATATTTAAAGAACCAATTTGTCCTTCTATAGCATCCCCTCTGTTATTTTTATTATCCCCTTCAATAGCTTTTTCGTTGTCACTCATCTTATGAGCTCCTCTCCCACTTCCTTACCCAGTAACAGATATTCAAACAGGAATTTTATTCTTACTAGCTATTTCAAGCTTAACAGTGTATCCTATCTTAGGCTCAGGGTGAGCATCCAATTCTAAGTATGCTTTAATAGGAGCTCTTCGAGCTATTGCTCAACTAATTTCATATGAAGTAACCCTACTGCTTATTCTAATAACACCTCTTACCCTATCAGGAGGTTATATATTAGTAAATCTCCTAGTAACCCAAGAAAATATCTGACTCTTAATCCCGATATGATCGTCAGCTACAATATGATTTATTTCAACTCTGGCAGAAACTAACCGTGCCCCCTTTGATCTTACAGAAGGTGAATCAGAACTAGTATCAGGCTTCAACGTAGAGTACGCTGGTGGTATATTTGCAATATTTTTTCTGGCGGAATATGTTAGTATTATTATAATAAACATACTAACCACAGTATTATTTATAGCATCAAGCTCAAGCTGATTTATAGAATGAATAACACTAACCATAGCAGTAAAATCAAGTCTTCTAGTCATTTTATTTTTATGGGTCCGCGCATCATTCCCACGCTTTCGTTATGACCAACTTATACACTTAACCTGAAAATTTTTTCTGCCTTTATCTATATCTATTCTGATTTCATATCTGGCCGCCACACTTTCATGTATAGCCCAACCTCCTTATAGCGTATAAACAGAATCATGCCTGAACATATAAGGATTACTTTGATAGAGTACATAATAAGGGTGAGATTCCCTTTGGTTCTTAGAAAGACAGGATTTGAACCTATTCTAAATAGACCAAAACTATTAGTGCTACCTTACACCACTTTCTATTTTCCTGGATAAGGTAAGCTAATTAAGCTCTTGGGCCCATACCCCACATACATAGGTTAAAAATCCTATCCTTATTTATACCTTACTATACTTATTTTGTTATTCTAACCAGTTTAGGCTTATCAACCGCTATAGCATTCTCTAGTACACACTGACTTCTTGGATGAATAGCCCTTGAAATAAACACATTAGCCATTATCCCATTAATAATTAAAGAACATCACCCTCGTGCCGTTGAATCTTCAACAAAATATTTCATTACCCAATCAGGCAGGAGCCTTAGTAATTCTATTTGCTTCTACTATTAATGCTTGATCCTTAAACCAATGAGACATAGACTCATCATCAGGCTTAATAAATCAAATCATCACCCTAGCACTTGCAATAAAATTAGGCTTAGCCCCTCTCCATTTTTGATACCCAGAAGTACTTCAAGGATTAACTTTAACTACAGGAATAATTTTAAGCACTTGACAAAAACTTACCCCTATAGCTATTTTTTCCCAACTAGCCCTTTCTAGTCTTCCTTCTTTACTTTTAATCTTAGGGCTAACTTCTTCCTTAGTGGGAGGGTGAAGTGCTTTAAACCAAACCCAGCTCCGAAAAATTATAGCCTACTCCTCAATAGCTCATATAGGTTGGATATTAATTATTTTACATTATTTACCATCATTAACTAACTTTACTTTACTAGTATATATAATTTTAACTGCCACAATTTTTATAACTCTAACAATTCTATCAACAACCAAAATCTCAGCCCTGAAAATAATAATGATAAAATCTCCTGTGATTTCTTACATAATAATTTTTATTTTATTATCTCAAGCAGGACTTCCCCCTTTAACAGGATTTGCCCCTAAATGAATGATTATTCAAGAACTTGTAAATCAAAACCTTGTTTTTATAGCCACCGCTATAATCTTAACAACTTTATTTAGTTTATTTATTTACCTCCGGTTATGCTATATAATAGCATTAACTGATTCTCCTACAACTAACCTAACCCCCTCTCATCAAACCCTTAGTTTTAAAAATTCAATTTTTCTAGCTTTCCTATTACCTTTTTCATTATTTATCCTCCCATTAACACCTCATTTTACAATGTAAACAAAGGCTTAGGATCAAATAAACCAAGGGCTTTCAAAGCCCTAAATAGAAGAAAAATACCCTTCTAGCCTTTGCAGAACCAACAGAGTATTATTCCGTATCATGTGAGTGCAAATCACATATTTTAATTAAAATATGGCTCTTACTAGATGGGTAAGTCTTGATCCTACAAATTCTTAGTTAACAATTAAGCGCTCAAACCATAGAGCTTCCATCTATTTAAGTTTTTATAAACCATGACAGAAATTACTCTGTATCTTTAGCTTTGCAAGCTACTATGATTATCACCACAAGGCTTGATAAAAAAAGGATTTTCACCTTCATTTTTGGAGCTACAAACCACCGCCTAGATATTCGGCCATTTTATCTTTGCTTTACCTACACTAATTTCACTATACATTAATGTTTAACCAACGCTGATTATTTTCAACTAATCATAAAGATATTGGAACACTATATTTGTTATTTGGCGCATGAACTGGAATAATGGGAACAGCCCTAAGCGTTCTCATCCGTACAGAATTAAACCAACCTAACACTTTACTTAGATAACGATCAACTTTATAATGTAATTATTACATCTCATGCATTCGTAATAATTTTTTTTATAGTTATACCCATCTTAATTGGTGGATTTGGTAATTGATTAATCCCATTAATAATTGCTGCTCCTGATATAGCTTTTCCCCGGATAAACAATATAAGCTTCTGACTTCTTCCCCCATCCTTATTTCTTTTGCTTGCTTCCTCTGGTGTTGAAGCAGGTGCAGGAACAGGATGAACAGTTTACCCCCCCCTTTCAAGTAATCTCGCACATGCAGGAGTGTCAGTTGATTTAACAATCTTTTCGCTCCACTTAGCAGGCATCTCATCTATTTTAGGAGCGATTAATTTTATTACTACAACAATTAATATAAAACCTTCCTCCCTCTCCCAGTATCAAACACCTTTATTTGTTTGAGCTGTATTAATTACTGCAGTTCTTTTATTATTATCTCTTCCAGTACTTGCTGCAGGAATCACAATACTCCTAACAGACCGTAACTTAAATACAACTTTTTTTGACCCGGCGAGGAGGAGGGGATCCAATTCTTTACCAACATCTTTTTTGATTCTTTGGTCACCCAGAAGTTTATATTCTTATTCTCCCCGGATTTGGAATTATTTCTCACGTAGTAGCCTATTATGCCAACAAAAATGAACCTTTTGGGTATATAGGAATAACATGAGCTATAATAGCTATCGGGTTACTAGGCTTCATCGTATGAGCACATCACATATTTACAGTTGGAATAGATGTAGACACACGAGCATATTTTACATCTGCTACAATAATTATTGCCATCCCAACCGGAATCAAAGTATTTAGCTGGCTTGCTACCCTTCATGGAGGGTTAATTAACTGAGATACCCCTATACTTTGAGCTTTAGGATTTATCTTTCTCTTTACAATAGGAGGACTAACAGGCATTATCTTATCTAACTCTTCATTAGATATTGTTCTCCACGATACTTACTATGTAGTAGCGCATTTTCATTATGTATTATCAATAGGTGCTGTATTTGCTATTATAGCAGGTTTTATTCATTGATTTCCCTTATTCACAGGATTTACACTTAACAATTTTTGAACTAAGGCTCAGTTCATAATTATGTTTGTAGGAGTTAATATAACATTTTTTCCACAACACTTTTTAGGCCTTGCTGGAATACCTCGACGATACTCTGACTACCCAGATGCTTTTTCTTTATGAAACTCTATCTCAACTATAGGATCAATTATCTCACTAGTAGCGGTTATATTATTTATTTTTATTTTATGAGAAGCTTTTATGTCTAAACGAACTGCTCCCTTATCTAAGATAACTCAATTTAACCTTGAATGAGCTTTTGGTTGCCCCCCTCTCAATCACTCATTTACTGAAGCTACCTATACTCAAAACCAACACCTCGCACCAATCCTAAATAAACATTAAACAAGAAAGGAAGGAATTAAACCCCCATAAATTAGTTTCAAGCCAATTACATAATCACTCTGCCACTTTCTTATTAAGACATTAGTAAAGAATTTACACCACTTTGTCATAGTGGAATCGTGAAATAAAGTTCACATGACTTACTTCATGGCATTCTCAGGACAAATAGATTTCCAAGATGCATCCTCCCCTATCATACAAGAATTAATAACTTTTCACGACCATGCTTTAATAATCATTTTTATAATCTGTACATTAATTCTCTACATAATTTCGATTCTAGTAAAATCAGAATATACAAATAAATTTACTTTAGATGCACAAACAATTGAAATTATTTGAACAGTAATTCCAGCCGCAATCTTAATTACCATAGCACTTCCTTCTTTAAATATTCTTTATGAGATAGACGAAAATAATAACCCTCTCCTAACAATTAAAGCAACAGCCCATCAATGATACTGAACTTATGAATACACAGATTTTAATGAATTAATATTTGATGCTTTCATAACACCAACTGAATCATTATATGAAGCCAATTTTCGACTCCTAGAAACAGATAATCGGGTAGAATTATGTTACCTTCAACCTATTCGCGTTGTAGTAACATCCGAAGACGTCCTACATTCTTGAGCAGTTCCTTCCTTAGGACAAAAAGTAGATGCTATTCCTGGGCGACTTAACCAATCTTCTTTCTGCCCTACCCGACTTGGAATTTTTTATGGCCAATGTTCAGAAATTTGCGGTGCAAACCATAGTTTTATACCCATTGTAATTGAAACTCTACCATTCCCGCTATTTCAAGATTGAACACTTTACAAGCATTAATTCCACTTCGTCAAGAAGCTGAATTGGATAGCGTTGGCCTTTTAAGCCAAATTATGGTGATTACCAACCACCCTTGATGAGAAATGCCTCAGTTAAATCCCGACCCATGATTTTTATATTTATTAACCTCCTGAACCATCTTAATTCTTTTCTCAATAACAAAAATTCTTAATTTTACTCAAGAAAACATTCCAATTCTCAAAGAAGGACTTAAAAAATGCAACTTTTTAGCTTGACCATGGCACTAAATTTTTTTGACCAGTTTAACAGCCCCCAATTTCTGCTCCTACCCCTTTTTTTAGTAGCACTTATTATCCCCTGACTATTTTACCCTTCTCCTTCCTCACACTTAATAAAAAATCGATTTACTAATACACAAATACTTGTAATTAACTATAATTCCAAACAACTTTTTAACTCAATTACCTCTAAAAGTCACTCATGAATTCTTATATTTATATCTCTAATAACTTTTTTAATCACAATAAACCTATTTGGGTTACTTCCCTATACTTTTACACCTACTACTCAACTATCCCTAAGCCTAGCTTTCGCATTACCTCTATGACTCATAACAGTGTTTCTAGGACTTTACAAACATTTTACTGCTTTTGTAGGACATCTTTTACCCCAAGGAACCCCAACAATTCTTATTCCACCATTATCTATTATTGAAACACTCAGTCTCCTCATCCGTCCTATAGCATTAGGAGTACGACTTACAGCTAACCTAACAGCCGGGCACCTCCTTATTCAATTAATTTCTTCAGGCACTTTATTTTTAACCTCTTTTTTACCCCCAGTAAGTATTTTGATAATTTCTGTCCTAATACTTCTTACACTTTTAGAAATTGCAGTAGCTGTGATTCAAGCCTATGTATTTATCCTTCTTCTAAGTTTATACCTGCAAGAAGCATTATCCCATTAATTTGTAAGCTTAAAACATAATTTTCATGAACAACCAGAAACACATTTTTCATATAGTAAACCCAAGCCCTTGACCATTAGCGGGAGCTTTGGCAAGTTTACTATTGACTTCTGGACTAGCTCTCTGAATTCACTTTAACACCTACGAAGTGTTATTATTAGGCTTAAATTTATTGATATTAACAGTATTTCAATGATGACGTGACATAACCCGAGAAAGTACTTTTCAAGGCCATCATACGTTAATAGTTCAAAAAGGCCTGCGATTAGGTATAATTCTGTTTATCACATCAGAAGTATTCTTCTTCTTCGGTTTTTTCTGAGCTTTTTTTCATTCAAGCTTAGCGCCTACTAATGAAGTAGGCGGATTATGACCACCTATAGGTGTATCAACTCTAAACCCCTTCAATGTCCCTCTCCTTAACACAACAATCCTTTTAGCTTCTGGTGTAACTGTGACATGAGCACACCATAGCCTAATAGAAAAAAAACGAAAAGAGGTAATGTTTTCTCTAACTTTAACAGTAATTTTAGGAGTGTATTTTACACTCCTTCAAGCAATGGAATACCAAGAAACCCCTTTCACCATAGCAGACAGCGTTTATGGGGCCACCTTTTTTGTTGCTACAGGATTTCATGGACTTCATGTCCTTATTGGATCCTCCTTTTTGTTAATTTGTCTATTACGACAATTATTTTTCCATTTTACGTCAACCCACCATTTTGGTCTTGAAGCAGCAGCATGATATTGACATTTTGTAGATATTGTATGACTATTCCTTTTTGTCTCAATCTATTGATGAGGTTCATATCTTTTTAGTAATAAATACTACGTATGACTTCCACTCATAAAACCTTGGATAAACCCAAGAAAAGATAATTACTATTATTTTCGTTTTTATCATTGCATCTACTTTTTCATGTATCTTTACCTTTCTGTCTTTTGTTTTACCTAATTTAGACCCTAATTCAGAAAAACTATCGCCCTATGAATGTGGTTTTACTCCATTAGGATCAGCTCGTATACCACTCTCTCTTCGATTTTTTTTAGTTGCAATTTTGTTTTTACTATTTGACTTAGAGATTGCTTTATTAATCCCTTTACCTTGAGCCAGCTTATTCTTATACCCAACAAAAACCTTTTTATTAGCACTAATTATTATTATTATGTTAGCTTTAGGATTAACTTATGAACTAACCCACGGAGGTTTGGAATGAGCAGAATTAAAGGTTAATCTAATAAAGATTGTTAATTTCGACTTAAAAAATTGTGGTTTAATTCCGCAACCTTTATATGACCCTTTTATTTTTAGGGCTGACAATATCATTTTTATGCCCCTTATTAGGCTTTGTTCATCATCGTACACATTTGACATCTACCTTAATTTGCTTAGAAAGCATAATACTCTCACTTTTTATATCATTAACCTTCTGATCATCCCAATTTCAAACTATTAACTTCCTAAGTTCCCCCTTAATAATTTTAGCTTTTGCAGCATGTGGTACAACTACAGGTTTAGCTTTACTAGTAGCCACAGTCCGCATACATGGTTCAGATAATATTTTTAATTTAAACTTATTACAATGCTAAAAATTAACTTATTAACCCTTTTAGTCCTCCCACTAATTTGATTTTCACAACTAAAATGAATGTGAATATCATCAACCACAGCTGCTTTCCTTATCGCTGGCTTGAGCTTTTTAATTATTAAAGAACCCAATATTTCGCATTGAACTTTTTCATCTCTACTGACAACCTCAGATTACTTATCAAACCCTTTACTAATTTTGACTTGTTGATTACTTCCTCTCACCCTTCTAGCTAGTTGAAACCAACTAAAAAATGAGCCGTCCAATCGACAGCGTGCATTTATTACCTTAATATTTTTACTACAATTTTTTTTAACCTGAGCATTCTCTGCAATTGACATAATTTTGTTCTATATCATATTTGAAGCCACACTAATTCCTACATTAATAGTTATCACCCGATGAGGGAATCAAATTGACCGGCTTAATGCCGGCCTATATTTTTTTTTCTACACACTTCTGGGATCACTTCCCCTTTTAATCGCTATTATATCTCTTAAAATAACTACAGGGACTGTATCAATCCTAATAATTAACCAAATAGAAATTAACTTTTATCCTTCCTGAACACAAACATTTTTATTTATAGCATGCATACTAGCATTTTTAGTAAAAACTCCACTATATGGGGTTCACCTTTGACTTCCTAAAGCCCATGTAGAAGCACCTATTGCTGGTTCAATAATTCTGGCAGCAATTTTACTAAAACTAGGAAGCTACGGGATAATACGATTTATAACTTTATTTTCACCTCTAATTAATAAAATAATTTACCCTATTATGATTTTATCCTTATGAGGTGTGATTATAACTAGTATTATCTGCCTTCGACAAACAGACCTAAAATCATTAATTGCTTACTCATCCGTCAGTCATATAGGTTTAATTACCGCTAGCATCCTTATTCAAACACCCTGAAGTTTATCTGGAGCCATAGTTCTAATAATTGCCCACGGTTTAACATCATCAATATTTTTCTGTTTAGCTAATTTATCTTATGAGCGAACCCAAAATCGGAGCCTTTTACTAGCCCAAGGTCTATATTCAATCTTTCCATTAATTACCTTTTGATGATTATTCACAAATCTAGCAAACATCGGATTCCCACCTTTTCCTAATCTAATAGGAGAAATGATAATTATTTCCTCCCTATTTTATTGATCTAATTGAACATTAGTTTTTACAGCTTTAGGTTTACTAGCTACAGTTAGTTACTCTCTTTACATACTAGTTCTAACACAACGTGGAAAAGTCATTCTCCAAATTAATATCTCCTCCCCCCCTTTTATTCGAGAGCATCTTCTATTAACACTTCATGTTATTCCAACCATTATAATTATCTTTAACCCTGAAATTATTTGAGGATGATTACTTTAGTTAGTTTAGTTTAAAATAAAATTTTAGATTGTGATTCTAAAGATAGAGATTGGTCTCCCTAACTTACCAAGAATGAAAAAGAAATTTATAAACACTGCTAATGTTAAATACTTTGGTTAAACTCCAAAGCATTCTTGAACTTATATAGGATAATAGCCATCCATTGGATTTAGGATTCAAATCTCTTGGTGCAACCCCAAGTGTAAGTTATTAACTGTCAGCCTTTTCTAAAAATTTCTCAGTTCTCAAATTGACAGTTTGTTCATATAATATTCATTTTAATTTTTATCCCTCTTATATCTATTATTTTTAATGATTCTATTATTTCTCTTAACCTAAATCCATGA